AGGGGCCCTGGGCGGCCTCTGCAGGGCCGAGGTGCAGAAGCTGAGGATGGAGCACAGGCTGCCCCAGTTCTGCTCGCACTGCGCCTGCACGCTGTGCGTGACGGCCTCCTTCACCTCCTCCCCGCAGGTCAGCAGCAGGTTCACCAGGTCCACGTAGGGCCTAAGAGCAGAGCAGAGAGACGGGATGCGACCAGCCCCGCGGCCTCCAGGGCCGCCACCACGGCCGGGAGACAGGTGGGAACCCCGCGGCTTGGCTTGGGTTGGGTTTGGTGGAAGAGCTTTCTGGGATTACCTCCTGCCTCTGCCCATATTCCATGGAGTACTGGTCGCAACCCTTTCCTGGGTGGCTAGGCATCGGAGGGAACGCGAGGCTGAGACAGAAGCCACCGCAATGCACAGGTGCGCACGATGGAGGCGCCTCTGGGTGAGGATGCAGGTGGCAGCTGTGAGCACAGTGACGGGAGGGTGGGAGGGCGGGCACCGCGGGGTGTGTTGGGAGTTTGCGAAGTGGGAGGCTCTGGTGGGCGTGGCCATGGGTCTGGGGTTGGGGAGGCCAGAGGAGTTACAATTAGGCAAGTGGTAAAGGGCCTTAAATACCAAACTGGGGCGCTAGCGGGTTTGGTCCAGTGGATAGAGCGCCGCCCTGCGGACTGAAGGGTCCTGGATTCAATTCCCATCAAGAGCATGTACCTATGTACCTGGGTTGCAGGCCCTCCCCAGCCAGGCCCTGATCCCAGCCTGTGCAGGAGGCAACCAATCGATGTCTCTCTCTCACATCAATATTTCTTGTCTTTCCCTTTCTCTTCCACTCTCTCTAAAAATCAATGGAAAAATATCCTCTGGTGAGGATTAACAACAAAAAACCAAACCGGGGAGTGTTTTTGGTAGGAAAGGAGGCGCTATTGCGGGTTTGGGACTGGAGGAGCCGCAGACTGGCCCCTGGCACATGGCATCGGCACGGCCAGCTGGCCTTGCTCTGGGTGTCGCTCTGGGTGTCATTCTTCCAGACAAGCCTTCCCTAAGCCCAGCTCCCAAGACACATTCCCCCATGTCTGTGTTGGCCCCCCGGTTTGGGCTCCTAGTGAAGAAGGGGGATCTGGGAAGTTCCTGGATGCACTCCCCCGTGCACCTGGAAGAGTCTGGACCCCGTGGGGAGGGCGGGGGAAGGCCACTTCCTGGGAGGGCGCGTCCCCGGAGTGCTGCCCTGTGCCGGGAGGAGAGCCTGAGGAGCGGGGCTGGCTACCTGAGCATCTTCCCACCTGGGCTTTCCCAGAACTGGAGGTGAGGGCTGGCCTCGAGGGGCCGGTGGGTTTGGAATGGAAGCCAGCTGTCTGCGAAAGAAACAGGCTCAGCTCAGGAGGGGAGAGCCGGCCTCTCAGGCCATTCCAGCAGCCACGGGTCTTTCTTGGGGGAAGGGGCAGGAGGAACGACCACCTCAGGCAAGCCTTCCTCCTGGGCCGGAGCTGCATGCAGAAGGTGGGAGCGCTGTGCCTGCTTTTTAGATTTATGGGCCCAACTGGGAAGAGGTGTCCCCGGTGACAGCCTCTCCTGGCCCAGTCGTCATATTAAGCCTTTCTTGCCTCTCACTGGCCTCTTACCATCCCCAAGGGGGGGTATGGAGTGTTGCCTGTGGCTCACCAGCATTCTCAAGAGAGCCAGCCCTCGGCCACCAGTTTCTGGATCTCTCTGCCCATGAGCATCGCGGCTCGGGGCCGTCCCCTCGGGCAGGGACAGCGCTCTGGACTGTGAGGTCACTTCGCAGGACCAAGACTTTTTCCCTGCGAGCCTGGCCCACCCGGATGGCGGTATGACAGCCACTTACTCTTTTCTCTGCGAGTTGGCAGTGGTGGCTGGGCAGACTGTGCTAAGGCTCGGGAAGCAGTGTATTGCCACTTTTATGAGTTAGTCCTCAGGTTGTAACTGAGTGAACGGTCCTCATCTCATAGATGGGAACATGGGTTCGAGGTGGGGAGAAGGGGGCTTTTGGAAGCTTCTGGGCCTGGGAAGCCTGGGGCTGGGCTGCGAGTGGAGGGGGGCTGTTCTGGCGGATGGACCAGGCTGCCTTTAAGGCCTCCTTTGTGCCTGGCTGATGGGCGGGGGCTTGAGCTCTCCCAGGCAGGCCCCTAACGGTGACGAGGACAGTGATGACACTGGTCTTCGTGGGCTGAGCCAGGAGGGCGCAGGGCAACACAGGGAAAATGGTCAATTCGCGCTAGTTTCCTTCCGTCTCTTGAAAACTAGCTCCTGACTGCCTCAGGGAGCTCAAGTTCACCGAGTGCGTCCGCTGCGGCCGCCCTGAGCGTCCCTGCCACTTCTCTGGGGCTCCAGGAGCAAACTGCAGGGCTGAGAATGTCCGGCCGTTGGGGACACTACACTAATGCTCCTCTCCCAGTTGCTTTCCCCGGAGTAAGGGGAGGGCTCTCCTGGGAATGGACACACTGCCTCTTGGCCTCCTTCGCCAGGGGGGTCGGCCTGCCAGATGCTCTCAGAACCCAAGGTGGACCTCGAAGGCCGGACCGACCAGCGAAGGCTGGACCTATCGGTGAAGGCTGGACCAGCCCGCGTGCTCCTGCCTGCCCTGAGCTATGGGGGGGCACACGGTGGGGGGACGGGGGCGTGTGCTAGTCTAAGCTGCGCTCGGAGCTGGTGAGCTGGCGTGGTGCCTCCTCAGGCTGCAAGCTCGGCCGTGTCTCATGACAAAGCCCAGCTCTCTGATCTGGGTGTCAGTGAGGCTGAAGGAGGGTTAAAAATACTTAGCAGGAGACGCGCACAGGGGACGGGCCTGGAGGCCGCCAGCACCCAGCGATAGGGTGAGTGGTGGCTGAGGTGGTTGCTATGGAGAAAGTGAGGTGAGAAGGGGTGAGAGGGCCACTTCAACTTAACATGGCAGTGTTTGGGGGTGATAGGGATGGGGTGGAAGAATGGGGGTGATGAAGATACTGGGGTGACTGTGATTTCGCCCCCTGTAAAGTGGAAAGCAAATTCAGCTCTCATTTCTCTTGTCTGTGGCCAATGCCACACATTCTTCAATGTCTTCTTGCTTTGGGGGGACTGAGCGCCTCTGCGCCCCAGTCAGTTAAGATGGTTACAAAACCTGAATGGGCTGCGGGAGGGGAGGCAGTGGGGGTCAGTGGGGAGCTGGCTTAGCAGGAGGCAGGGGGACTTGGGCCCGGGCAGTGAGTGTTCTTAAAGGAGGCCCGGGCTTCCTTCCGGGGTGTGCCGCCTGCATTTCCATAGCGGACTGGGAGGGGGGTCACGAGGCTGTTCTTAATGATGTGAGGAGCCCTTCGGAAGTAAGGGTCCCCTGGCCCCACGGGCCATATTTCCCTGGAGGGGACTCCCGAGAGCCACAGTGCTTTGCTGCTGCTTAAATGTGAAGGCGGTGTGTGTGTGTGTTGGGCGGGGGGGGGCTTTAAAACCTGCCGTTTTCTGCCCGGCCAGTATGGCTCAGTGGTTGAGTGTCGACCTGTGAACCAGGAGGTCACGGTTCGATTCCTGGTCAGGGCACATTCCCCAGGTTGCAGACTCGATCCCCAGTGGGGGGGCGTGCAGGAGGCAGCCAATCCATGGTTCTCTCTCATCATTGATGTTTCTCTCTCTCTCCCTCTCCCTTCCTCTCTGAAATCAATAAATATATATTAAAACAACAACAAAACCACAAAAAACCCCCCACAAGACTTTTCTCCAAAAAGACAGCCTCCTCGGCTCCGGGAACATATGACAGGCTTACAGACTAGCTCCCCGCCATCCATTCTCGGGCCAACATGCTGTCTCTATGGAACGCGGGTTCAGGACAAATGAACTCCCCGAGTTTCTCAGCCACACAGTGCCAGCATCTCCCGGGGTGTCTAGAAGGAAGGGCCAGCACAGCGCTCTCCTGGGGTCACGGGGATGCATTTGAGAAAAGGGGAAACCCAGGCCACAAGGGGGACCAGTGACCCTCTGACAGGCTGAGAGAGCGGGCCAGGAGCAAGGAGGTTTGGGGGTCTGTTCTGACAGCTGGCTTCAGGCATGCATCTCACCAAGTCCCCAGTTGGAAAGTAGAATCAAATCTCAGAGGGAGGTCTTTAAACTCTTGGCTTCACTCCTCCGCGGCTACATGGGGACCGTAAGCTGTCATGTTGGGAAAGATAGCTGAGAGGATCCAGGGAAAGTCCCTGGCCCCGGGCCTGGCCCGCTCAAAAGCCGATTTTATATCATTCTGTTGTTGCTGTTGATGCCGTTGCTGCTCAGCTTCTGCACAGGTGTTTGGGAGAATAAAAAGAATTTCTCAAGCCTTCGTGTAACTCGGAGAGAAGGCATCCTTGTTTTGCTCTTGTCAGGAGCTGCCCGTGGAGGGATCCAAGGTGACTCTCACAATTCGAACACTCACCCGGGTGTGGCAAGATACCTAGACCCTGGTGACCAAGCGGAAAGTGACAGGAGGGTGTTGTCCCCCAGATCTAAGTGGTGTGGGTGGGGTGGGGAGCAGCCTGTTGAGAGACAGGCCGGGGGAAGGCATGCCACGGACTAAGGAGCAAGAGTTCATGAAATCCTACTGACTCGGCCCAGCGAGTCACCGTGCAAAGAGCAGCGGCACCGACGGGTCCGGGGCTGCTGAGCTCGGAGCTCGCTTTCTGGGCTCATTCCCGGAGGAAGGAGCCACGTCGCTCAGGGGCCACGGGCCACGCTTCGGGCTAGCACAGCCCCGTCGCCCCAGGCTTCACCGCTCTGCAAGGGTTCGGATCCTAGCAATGGCATGTTTTTTCAGGAGTGAGATTTCCGGGGTTTATTACTGAATTTCAAGCCTTTGAATAAGTCAGTCTGTGTTTCCTCGCTTTGGCAGAAAGGTGTTTGGCTGATTAGAGTTTTTGACATTTGTTTTGCATTTTCCCTGAGAGGGCATTCATGTGCTTAGAGAAGGGGAGCTGGACTTTCTAAGGGCGAGGAGAGAGATGGAGGCAGGAAAAGAAAAGCTACTGCTCTCGGCATGTGTCCTGGAAGAGTGCAGTGTTTGGAGCCGGACTGCCTGGCTCGAATCTTGGCTTTGCCTCTCACTGCCTGTGACCTTTCCCTCCGTGAATCTCAGTTTTCTCATCTGTAAAATGGGCACGAGAATGGTTCCAGAACAGGGCTATTGTGAGGATCAAGTGAGAAGTTCACGGAAAGCACTGAGTCCCGTGCCTGGCCCTCGGTAAAAGCTGGGCAGGTGGTATTCGCTGCCCGTGGGCTGCTGGGGCACCCACGGAGCTACCGGGGATACTCAGAGACCCGGTGGGTCCTGGCCGAGGGGAAGACGAAGGGCATTTCTGAATCCCACCCATTTCGTGCTTAGGGAAAGAGCTTCCTGTTTCTATTGCTTATGATTCTGAAACCGATGGTGCCAATTTCTTGCGCTTTTCCTGAAGGTCAACAGGAAAGGCAGTCCCAGGGGAGCCGGGCAGCTTTCAGAGGTAAAGGCACCCCCTGTCCCCCGCCCCCCCCCATCCGGTGGGAGAGGCCGGCCCTGCACACGGCCCAGACCCCAGGGACACTCACTCGCGCAGCAGCAGGTCCTTGAAGTGGATCATCTCCACCATCACGCGGGTGTTGTCGCGGGCGGCCGCGCACAGGTCGTGCTTGAGGTAGCATTCCCGCTGCAGCTGCAGCACCATCTCCCTGATGGCCGGGCACTTCCGGCTGATGCAGCCGAACCTGTGCCGCAGGGCGTGGGCCTTACAGCGCAGGGCGTCTTTGATGAAGGACTTGCCCTGAGGGTGGAGAACAGAGGGGAGAGGGGGTGGGAGACAGGAGTCGGACAGGGGCCCTCTGGGGCTCACCCAGAGCTTTCTGACAACTGAACCCCCAGGCCCGGCTGCGGACGGACACCCTCGCAGGTGACAGGCTGGTGCTTCATCCGAGGTGTGTCCGGAGTGACGGGACCTCTGGCATCTGGCCAGAGAGGCTGCCACTTGGGGAGACTCATAGGTCTGCCTCCTCCTACTAGCGTCCCTCGTGCTGGGGCTGCCGTGGCCACCTGTCCCCAAGGCAGACAGACCAGGCCGGCCGCTTTGTGGCAACTTTTCTGGGACACAAGGGGACGGAAATTCCAAACTCCTTGGTGGTTCCCAGCAGCGTTTTCCCCAAGTAGAAGGTGCCTGCTTGTCCAAACCTCCCGCCGTCCCTCTGTCCTCTGAGCCCAGGAGTGACACCAAGGTGGGCCGCCGACGGGGCCTGTCCTGCCGCAGTGCCTCCCAGCACCCCAGCGCGCACTCTCGTCTCCCCGTTCTGGAAGGAGGAGCACTCTTTTCCTCTTTGAAAGTGACTGACTCCTTTAAGCTGTTAGGATGGCTGCCTCTAAAGGCCCGCCTGGCACCGGGCCTGGTAGCGTCTGGCCCCGCGGCAGCCCCTCCCCCGGCCCGGCCTCGGAGTGGCGCAGGCAGCCAGGCATACATCTGGCCCGCACTTCTCTTTCCTGGCAACCCGGGAGGTTGCTCTCATCCTAGAAAGGAGACAGCTGTTGGGGGTGTGGAGGCGAGCGGGGCTGCAAGTTAGCTCCCTTACCAACCTCGGGGGCAGAGAGGCATTGTGGGATACCCACCCCACAATTACTATAGAAACGAGCTGTCCTTGGAGAGGTCACCCTGTTTTTAGACAGGCCCGGAAGGAGCGGAGTTGGGAAAGGAACCGGGTTTAGGTTGGGATTGGGAAGCCAGCCAGCACGTTTATTCCGGTTCTCTCCCTCAGAAGCCATCGAAATGTCTACGGATAGTGTCTAGTCACCGAACACCACCCCGTCGGCCCCCCTCTCCCCCGACTCTCCAGGGGGAGTCCAGTAGGATGGAGGGTAGGGCGTGCCAGCTCATGAAGTCCTTATGCATCGAGAAGGGACTTGAAAGGGATGCTTCTAACCTGAGAACATACTCCTGTTGGAGAATCAAAGGGAAGATTAATTTATGCGAGGGCTGCGGCAATCTGCTCTCCGTATTCCTCCCTGACATCCCCTGGGATGGCCCTGCAACACACGTCGTTCCTCCGGATTTCCCACTGCGTTTCCTAGTCCCAGTGAACCCAGCAGGGACGCGTTAGCGGGGAGCCTCAAGGAGCCCAGAGGCATAGCCTCATCGCTGCGGCGGTTTCTGTTTCCCCTCCGCCACCCCACATCCTCCGCGGGGTGGGCTGCCAGCCGGCCGCATCCCTTTCTGGTTCCCAGGCATTGCTTTGTCAGGCCTCCACAGGATGTCAGTGGATGGTGACTGGCGATGTTCATAAATCACCCCGAAACTGCTGGCCTCCTCCAAACGCTGTCATCACCCTCCGGGGAAGTGGGAGAGGAGGTTTAGGAGAGAGAATGACAGAGGGTTTCATGGGGGGGTGTCTAGAGCAGGGTGGGGAACCTTTTTCTTGCCAAGGGCCATTTGGGTATTTATAACATCATTCGCGGGCCATACAAAATTGTCACCTTAAAAACTAGCCGGCTGTATTTGGTCAAACATTTAGTTAACTCACCCCTAATGCCTTGGCAGGGCCAGACCAAATGATTTCCCGGGCCTTATACGGCCCGCGGGCCGGACGTTCCCCACCCCTGGTCTATGGGCCAGCGAGGACACGAAGAAGGTGAGCCTCACGCCATCTGAAATGTATTCGGGTGGTCAGCACTGGAGCCCTCGGGTTGCTTGCGGGTTCTTTTCCTGCCCCACGCGACTGGGTTTGCCCTTGGGAGCCTGGCACCACCTAAGTGGGTCAGGCCCTGCCTATATTTATTATATAGAGCAAAACACCATGTAGCATTGCCAGCCTCACTCGGGGTTCTGACTTTTCAGGTTGGGGAGGAGGGGCTGCTGCTTAGGAGGAAGGTAAGCCTGTGGTTCTGGGGGCCCCGACTTCTCCATGCTGCCCACTCACACACCCGCTGGGGGAGGGTGGGTTTCTCCCAGTGCTGTGTCTCCCTATCCTTGCCCGTTGGGGAGAATAGAGTTTGGAATATATAATTGACGTCTCTGCCCTTCCCCCCTCAACCTCGCGCTCCTAACGTGATGGGCCTTGCAGAGCAGGTCCTGGGTGGCCTGACACGGTGAGCCCCCTTACAGCGTTTATCATGGCCTTTGTCTTCTTGGCCAAGACTCCTCGGGTAATTGTTCAACGCGGCCTCCACTCCGCATTGCCTGTGCAGACACAGGTTAAGAGTGGGGAAAGATTTAGCCTAGATGACAGCTCCAGATGTGCAGGGCAGGAGTGGGGGACACTGCCCCCCTCTTCTCCCCCCTCCCCCGCCGTTCCACCTAGAATGCCGCTTGCAGGTGATATAACGCACCGCGGCCGAGCAGCTCAGGAAATCTGTTGTCAAGTCTTTTCAGTCACCATGTCATTCATGCTACACCAACCCCAGACATTCCCCGGGCTCTACACGGTGTTTACCTGGGCGTCAAATTTTCCAGCGTTGTGCAGGAAAGTCATGCAAATCCCATGCAAGCCCCGGATTTCACACGAGTTGTTCTCGAAACACTCAAACACGCCACAGCCCACATCGCCAGCGCTGACCAGGCAGTGCTGGATTTCCGCTGAAATGAGAGTTACACACAAAGCTATACAAAATCCTCAGCCATGCTTTTATTTCAACTACTTTTTTAGTTGAAATAAAAGTAACAACAAAAAAAAAAATTAAGGGGGAAAAAAGTTAGAATGAATATCTCAGGATCTAAGAAGCCAGGGAAAGAAAATGTCACCGTTTATTCTACTTATGAAAAATAGCCGTAGTTGTAAATATTTGTAAAAAAATTAGCCAAACCTACGTTACAAAGACCACAACCGGAAGTTAGGTCTGAGCCCCTCATTTTTCTTCCTCCCCATCTTATTAAAGCGCTTGTGGGAGTTCGTAGCTTGAGAATATTAGATAGTTCAGCTTTCTAAAGCCACAAAGTCTGATTTTAAATGATTAGCTTGCCCCTCTGTAGGCCATCAATGAAATGCCCTTCTCTACTTGGAGCTTGAAGCTGCTGCTATTAAATCCCAGTCATTTCCTTCCTGACCCCCAAATGCGAGCGTCCAAAGAGCACTTTCAATTCAGCCTTATGATTCAACACCTAAAAATCAAGACAAAATTCCTATGAAGGCAGCGCCTCTGACCATGGCCTTAAGAACACCAGGCTCGGGAAACGGGTTTCGGAGCAGGCTGAGCATGGGGCAGAGTCAGATGGGGGCTGGCCTGCAGAAGCGCAACCTAGTAGCCAGAGCCTCCTTGCATTTATTTATTTACTTTTTATATTTTTTGTTGATTTCAGAGAGGGAGGGAGAAGGAGGGGAACATCAATGATGAGAGAGAATCGTTGATGGGCAGCACGGGCCAGAGACTCCTTTTAAATAGAGATCTGGTTGAGATGTCACTTAATCCCCTAGAATCCTAGAGACTTGGTTTGCTGCCCTCCTTCGCAAAATGGTCCTAATTCCTCCCTCTGACAGGACAGACCGAGGGAGTTAGCTGCCGCGACAAGCTTCTGTCCCCCCGCCCCCCGAATTGCACGTCTTTAACCACAAAATTGCATCCAAAAAGTGTATTTTGGAAGAAGGAAGGGGTAGGAGTAGATAATCCGCATTCAGTGTAAAGCTACCGAGAGAAGGAGGGGCGTGTATTTGTTGAGAGTCACCAACTCCAGAGATTATTACCGTTCAGTTTTCAGGGAAAGAGCTGGCGAGGGGGGAAGGGTGGGCGAGGGTCCCGGGAGGGGCTGCGCGGGGCGGGTGATCCCCCCCATGCGCCAGGCAG